AAATCCCGGTGCAGGCTCCTAAACCACCGTCCTTAGCGTTCTCGCTCCTCCTTTACTAGGGCGCATGTGCAATGTTATGTAATACAAATCTATTTTTAATTTATTACCGGATACAGAACGAACAGAGGAGGAGAACACTGTAGGAAGGCTGGAAGAAATCGTCTCCCCGAGATCACCGAGTATGACTAAGCATTCCAAAAGCAGTAGCGGCTGAGGCATTCCACCAGCAGTCGGCGGGCAATGCAAGGAGCACCTGAAAACTAGGAAGGATAAAACTATATAGAAAGGCATAGAAAGCTATCTTACTGGTACTCCCCCAGTGTAAACACCCCCCGTGAACTATTGTCCCTCAGAGGAATTTATCATGGCTTCTGAACCCAATGTTCAGCCCTCAGTGACACTGTCAATGCTTGTATTTGCTTTTGTCTATGTCAGACCATTGGTGCATTATATACAAATAGAATGTGCTTCAAATTCTATAGGTATGCGCGCAAATGCTTGTACTACATCCCGCCGACTGCTGGTGAAAGGCCTCAGCCGCTACCACTTTCGGAATGCTTAGTCATACTCGGTGATCTCGGGGAGACGATTTCTTCCAGCCGTCCTACAGTGTTCTCCTCCTCTGTTCGTTCTGTATCCGGTAATAAATTAAAAATAGATTTGTATTACATAACATTGCACATGCGCCCTAGTAAAGGAGGAGCAAGAACACTAAGGACGGTGGTTTAGGAGCCTGATCCTGGTGTGGATCTCCATGCCGGAAATGCCGGGGTTGTCATATTCAAGCCCAGCTGGGCTGCTGGTAGCTCTATAAGGTATTGGGGAGAATAATGCACAAACACCACACACGTAGCCTTTTTAATGTAATAGGGTACACGGTAGTATTGGGTGAATAATGTAATAATACTACAGCAAGAGGTGACATCTCTCACCGCCTTCAGTTGTTCTCGGACACCACCTTGCTCATTCCCATCCCTCTCAACATCACGCCCATTGAGATATTCATTGACCTTGCCTCTGTCCACACCGGGTGCCCATGTCGGGTCTATGAAGCTGTAGACAGCATGTGCCTTATGTGGATCATAGTGCACTGGTGGCTTATTCTCGCCAAGCTGCTCTTTGATGTATGTATTCAATCGAGTGCCAGTAGCATATCTGATGTTTCCCGTTGTTGAAGATGTCACAGCATGAATTGATTTCAGACTAGTCTTTGTCTGACAGGGTGAATTTGACATTCAGGCAGTGCTTTTTGAACTATCTGAGTATCTGAGTAAGCATCCATTTCTTTGTGCCCTTTGTCGCTGAGCCATCTGTTATTGCTGTCAAGACAAAGCCCATCGGTAACGCCTGGCAATTTGCCTCGCCAACAAGGGCATACAGCTCATAGGAGGCAACATTGGTTTTCCCTGCGTGTATGATGTAAGTAACAATGAGGCTCACCCAAAGCATAGCTCACACTAGTACTCACATGTTGAATCCATTGCCAGCTCCGCTGTCTGGGCACCATATGTCTCCACCAGTTCCTTCAGCGAAAATGCCATCACTTCAATCCCTGGTTCCTGCTCAACATTAATCATCTCGATCTCCTTCCCATTTGCGGCCTCTAGAACCTTCCGTGCTGACAAGACCTGATCATCATCCAGGTGCCATACCTCCTCATTCAAGTGCTGCCAGAGTGTGTATATCTGGTGCTGTGTGAACTCAGGTGTGGGTGCACGATGTCGTGATGTTGGAGTGACTGTGGGAATCAGAGAGGTGACACCGCTCTGTTTCTCAGGCTGTGGCAAACTGCACGGATTCCCAATTTAGCGACATTCTTTCCTTTTTGGGTTATGTTTATCTTTTGTTCTCTTATCGTCACTCTTTATCACTCTGACAGCTCATATAGTGTTGTGATAACCTTTTGACATATCTAGATTGTTGTACCGTACCTTGCGAGCTCGAGGACCTTAAGTACAACGCCCCCGTAGATACACCCCCATCTTTGCACTTGTTCGTTAGATGTGCTAAGTGGGGTGTGTTTGTATTCGTGAACCCGTTCGTTCATGGACTTACCATTACCTGTAGTTTACTTGTCTGTTCGTTCACAGGTAATGCGACATCTTTGCACTCTTTCGTTAGACATGCTAAGTGGGTTTACTTGTCTGTTCGTTCACAGATGCGCACGTCTACGCAAAGGTTGAATATATTATATTATCTTCACATGTGATTCATTCAGATTCGACATATGGTAGGAATGGTATCCTGGATTGTGACCTTGAGCCATCCTTTGCAGTGGTATCGCCGCATCCGTGTGTGGCCTCAGTGCTGCTTTGGATCCTGGTTGAGCTTCTGCTTCGTCGCCCTCCACCTGGATGCAGTAGTACGTGATGACAGTACTGTTTCCTTTCCGAGTCTTCTTCTGACTAACCATGGTGATGTCTTAGGGTTGCGCATTAGAGGTTATCAGTACATACTTCCAGTGGTAATCGGACACCTCGTTCAGTCAATCTCGAAGACTGTTACCGCGCTCATGGTGTGAGTGCTTCACGTCCGCAGCAAAGTCATCCTTTGTGACAAAGGCATCAAGCTCGAGTGGTGAGTTACGGTTCTTCTGTATGAGTTTGAGGCACGTCTCCAAGCTTATGCAGGATGGTGGAAGCTTCTCATATTGCCCTGAAGTCTGAGATGCACCAATGTTCTCCTTCTCCTCCGCCAGTCTTTTGGCTATCATCTGCTTGCCTGTACATGTAAAGCAGACCTTTAGGTATCCACTTCCGTTCTTCCTTACGGGAAATGTGTTGACTGCCCCCCTATAGCTGCACCGCACACATTTCTGGGCTGAAGTGTGTTGTTTATTCAAAGCAATATTATCTTGATAACCCCACTCACGTATGCTCTCATCCATGCTAGATTCAAGTAGACAGTGCCAGTACACAGTTCAGTATAATAGATATTCATTTTCTTTGTTCATTCAGTATGGCCTTTGCACGTAATGCCCTCTATTCACGTGACTGATGGCTTAGTCATACATTCGTGGGATTGTTTTTTCGAGGGGTCGTATTGGTAGACTCGGCAGGTGTTGCCGATGATAAGCCCCAGCGATCTTCTGACCCCTGAAATTGCGAATTTGACACACCATACATCCCCTCCAAAGTTTATTCGACACCACCTGTCGAACCTCTTACGCGACAAGTAACCGACGAAGGGTTCTGGATTTAATTCCGGACCTTCTAACGTCCTCAAGGCAGGCGCAGATCACCGAAATGATTTAGCTCCGCTGCCAGACGCTCCGAAGTCACCCGGAAGAATATCTTTGTGACTAATTATCTCCGGGAACGGCGGAGGCCCGCGTCGCAGTGAGTCATTGGTATTACCACTCCCCAGTCATCACTCCCCTTCGTTTCCGTCAAAGCGACCGAGTCAGCGGACGTAAATCGACGGCCGGACGGAACGTATCAGTCAGCAAGCGGCCGGAGCTAATCCGCACGTGATCAGCCTGCAGTACCGCGTGATGAGGCACTTCAAGCGAGCATTGACGCGTTGAGGCTACCTCTAGGACCTAGGACGAGCACGTGGAAACACGGCAGGATCGTATGGGACATGGTATAGCGGTGGGCAAAGGCTGAGTAATTGTGTGGGATGCGGAGCATATTTGTTATTTAACTCCGGGCGGACGCAAAACCATTCCAATAGCATTAAATAGTATGGAGCGTAGTGGAAAATCCAAGTTTTGTACTTCACCCTCTCAGCGTACCAGAATTATCGTCTCAGCGACCCTCGGAGTCCCTTCGCGTCGGACTTAGCGTCTACAATCAATCCTAGCTTTGCCAATAGGCCGGACTCGTCGAAACTAGATAACTCCGCCATCACATATCGATCCAAGTAAGCTCCGGATTTAGAGTATAAAATTCACCAAGCGTCTGTAGGCACGAGACTATTGTTCGGGTTCAGTGGAACTCCCCACCCGGGTTACTGGCGAACTTCAGAGATAAATACTCCGGAGAATCGCTATACTGTTTGTTTCAGGCCTCAAGATTTTGTTTGTTTTAGGTTTTCCTACGGGCTACCCTACGGCGTCTAACTTCTCCCCCTCCCTTCGAACTTAAATATTACCCTTCAATCGCCTTAGACCGCCTACACCCATACCACTGGGTGTTTTAGGTTTTATTTCTTTTTGGTCTTTGGTGTTGTCGTGTGTTAGTGCCTATCACCGACCCTCAGCCAGAATCCACTCAACGGATTCTCAAAAGCTGCTGTACGAGCAACTTGGGAGGTATTCGGCGCTGCGCGGCACGCCAGGTCCGATTCCTCACATGTAAAAGTCTATGGTAAACCAACGGCAGGGACTCTACAAGCAGGGAAATAATCTTTCTTGCTCCCCGGGTGCTGTTTGGACACCACTTGACGCAAATCCTCCAGATT